ATCGGCTAGGGAGAAGGTAGTTCGGCCCTGCGGCTGTGTTTTTTTGATCCCACGAAGCTGAAGCTCCGGGATATATGCGAATGCACACGCCACGGCAGTAGGGCACCCACGAGCCCTTCTACATCACCCTAACGTAAGTTCGTAACAGATTAAATGGCGCCCAACGTGGGGCCACGAAGCATAGACTGTGGCGTACTTATGAGTAGCCCAACGAAAGTGGTCCCGTGATTTTATTCCCTCTTGGAACAGTTTTGTCCGTCTGGTCTGGTTTATTTGATTAATTATTGACAGTAATTTAAATAGTAAATTTTAGAATTTGAAAGCTGAAAGCTTAATGCATATGCTTCCAACTAGTTTACTCAATATTTAAAAGTTGTTAGTGAATTTTATCGTTGCGTTTTGGTTAAGTTGTATACAAATCTTGTTGCAGGAATTCAGTTTTAGAGGCTAGATGCTTTAAAGCTTGACCGCATAAAGCAGTGTATAACGAGAACTAATTAGCAGATAATACCTTCGATTTTCAGTTTGGTTGTAGTTCGCTGTTCGCTCCTGGCTCATCAGGAATTGTGATTTGGGACGGGCTATATGTCACCAAGCATACCAATTAGCGTTGGCGCACGGTTGATGAACCAAAATGAAACTGAAAATTAGCTTACATTCTCAGTCTCCACTTCGAGAAGTTTTTCAAATTAAGTTTTTTGTTGTCTTGATTTTTTTTTATTTATGGGATAACCGGAACTTGCAGTCCATGAATTTACTGTACCGGTTCCCGTTGACTTATTTTCATTAATACCGAATACCCGGTTGGGCTTGCGTACCCCTATACTAGTATCTTTATACCAACACAGACTTCCTACCGACCAGAGGGTCAGACCGCATCTTTTACATGATTTTTTTATCTATCATTGAGAGTTTTAGTGAGTTGATGTGTAGTGAACACTTGGTTGATAAAGGCTAGCGGTTTTTTTCAGAATTTTTGCGATTTGTATTCAATAAACTAAGTAAATCGGAATTCCACACAGTGAACGTTTTAATACATGGTCAGCGGGTATGTGCATACTAAGGACTATACATATGTAGATATGAATTGAAAATAAAATTTTCTTTGCCGGTTAAAGTACTCTTGCTGAAGTTGACAAAGTTTTTACCTTATCAAGTTTTTTCCTTTGAATAACAGTCACCTGCTTTATTGTTGAGACTTTTATACATACATAGTTGCTTAGTGAGTTTCAGTCACTAGTTGCTTACAGTTCTGGGGCTATCATTCATTCATTATTTTTTTTCCCTCAAACAAACATTTCTTGCAACGTAACAATGCCACTTTCACAAAGTAAAGAGGATCAGGCTCAAGCAAACGGTTGCACAATATGTCGTAACGAATTCTTCGAAGGTGACGATACCTTGAAGACCGCTTGCTCGCACCAGTTCCACCGAATATGTTTATTGGACTGGTTAAAGCACAGCTCCACATGTCCCCAGTGTAGAGCTAGATGCAACAGTAGAGACCTTCCTCGCCCTGGTCCTCTAACTAGATCAAAGGTTACATCTAAGACTACTAGCGATAACCCCCAGCTTTTAACAAATTTACATAAGGATAACTCGGATTTAGCAGGAGCCACCTGTTCGCCATTAGAAGCACCAGTTCGAGAACAGAACTCCAATGTAAACCCTAATACGAATAACATCGATGAAGAGGCCCGTCTACGAAATCTTGTTGGGGCAGTCACTTCGGCAAGGCAGGCAACAATGTTCGAGAATTTAGATACCCGTATAGCGCAAATTGTTGAACAAAAAGTGGAGCAAACATTAGCAAATGCGTTGGGTAGATTGAACCTGAATGCCGTTCCGAATATAATGGCTCAAGCTGCGGTACCACAACCAGCAGCTGCCGTAAATACTGGGCAGAATCTGAATACGCCTAGACAAGATCGACACTCAGTCAATTCAACTCCTCTTTGGGCCCGTGACCATACTAATCACGAAAATTTTAATAGGCAAATTGATCAGTTTAGGTTTAGCGATATTTCTAGTGTTCCCAACTCAGGAAGGATAGCCCAACTCATATATGGAATATAAAGTTTGATGGTACGTCGAAATTATCTGTAGATAACTTTCTTTATCGTATTGAATCACAGGTGATCGACACGCTAGGAGGCAATTTTAATTTATTGTGTGAGCATATTCAGAACCTTTTTATTAACGATGCCAAGGACTGGTACTGGCGGTACACACGTTCTGTCGAGCGTGTGACTTGGCCAACGAAATGTCAAGCTCTGCGTACTAACTTCCAAGAGCATCGAAGCGACACCGAAATAAAAGAATTAATTCGCGCTAGGAAGCAAGGCCAAACTGAAAGCTTCGACGAATTCCGGAACTCAATCCTAAAAATGACCGAAGCTTTGCAAACCCCTTTTCCCGAAGCCGAGCTGGTGGAAGTTTTACAGAGGAATTTGCGTCTTCGTACCCGCCAGCAACTGTTGTTCGTACCTGTTAACTCTCTCGCAGAACTGCGTCGACTATGCCTTAAAGGCGAACATCTTTTGAACGAGATTAACAAAACGAATACAACAACAGTGCTTCCTTATAACCAGCGTCAATTTCCGCGACGGCAGTTAAATGAATTATGCGAAGATCCCGAGGAGGACAACGAGGACTGGGTTGAGGTAGACGAGGTGTCTAAACAGGCTACTAATGCGAAATTACAGTGCTGGAACTGTCGCGAAGAAGGTCACCGATTCTTTGATTGCCTTGAATATAGGACTGTTTTTTGTTACGGTTGTGGTAGTCCAGCAGTGTACAAACCAAACTGCACCAAATGCAATGCGGGAAACTCCCAAAATAGCGAGGGTTCAACTCAGAATCCTCGCCACGACCAAAAGAAGAAAATATAAAGGAGCTACTTATACGTCATGAGACACCAGGCAGGGAAAGAGCCCCATGCATAACACATATAGTGCCGTACGATATTCGGTTACAAAACTACAATAAAATCCTTTCGAAAATTTTTGAAAATAATGATCAGACAAATATTTCATCCACTCCTAATCGTTCGACAGTACGCTTAAAAAAGTCTTGGGAAAAGGTAAAAAAGAATAGGAAAAATTTTAATAGCTTCATATCTTCCCTCCAGCAAAGAGCAAAAGATATACGGCCGTACGCTGAAGTCGAAATCCTGGATCAAAAATATTTAGGTTTGCTAGATAGTGGAGCCCAAGTTTCATGTCTAGGTAGTACTTTGGCTAAAGAAATGTATGAGAAAATGAAACCCCGTCAGCACCAGGTTTCAGTATGTACCGCCGATGGCCAGACGCAGGTTGAGTTTGGAACGATTGAAATTGACGTAAAATTCGAAAACCGAGTCGAGAAAATAAACTTTTTTATTATACCAAGCATCGCTCAGAATGTGATATTGGGAGTCGATTTTTGGCTTAGGTTCCAAATCGCTCCTCACCTCATTTCGGAAATTAGTTTTACTTCCAATGAACCCGGTGAGAGTGCTACCATTTCCTTATCCGCCCAGCAAGCGCGGCAGCTTGATTTTGTCAAAAAACCGTTTTCCGAGTTATGAGAAAGAAGGTTTAGGAAAAACCCATCTTATGGAGCATTTAATAGAGCTCGAATCCAATGCACGTCCGATAAAACAGCGTTATTTCCCTATATCTCCCGCTGTGGAAAAACTTGTACACGCTGAAATCGATGAGATGCTAAAGTTAGGAGTGATCGAAGAATCACCTAACAGTCCGTGGTCCAGTCCGGTCGTATTAGTAAAAAAAATCCAACAAAGTCCGTCTGTGTCTAGACTCAAGGAAAGTCAACGCGCTTACAATTAAGGATGCATACCCACTACCGCATATCGATGGCATCCTCAGTAGACTGCCAAAGGCCCAATACATCAGCTCTCTCGATCTTCGTCGAGCTTTCTGGCAGATCCCATTAGCTGAATGCTCCAGAGACTACACGTGTTTCACCGTCCCAAATCGTCCACTCTATCGTTATCGCGTAAAGCCTTTTGGCTTATGTAATGCCCCGCAAGCGCTTTGCAGGTTAATGGATCGAGTAATACCTCCACACCTTAAAGACCAAGTGTTCGTCTATTCAGATGATTTATTGGTAGTGTCCGAAGATTTTGAGATTCACCTTAAAGTTTTGTCAGATGTAGCATATCAGCCAAGAAAAGCTGGCCTAACCATCAACATACAGAAAATCAAATTTTGTACTCGCGAGGTCAAGTACCTTGGGTATATTGTAGGTAATAGTAGCTTAAGTACGGACCCCGACAAAATTTCATCGGTCGTGAATTACCCAGCACCTGCAAATGTAAAACAGTTAAGAAGATTTTTAGGTATGGCAGGGTGGTATCGTAGGTTTGTGGACAATTTTGCTACCCTGACAACACCCCTCACGAATTTGTTAAGGAAAGGAAAGAAGTTCGAGTGGAAGGAAGACGCGCAACAGGCTTTTAACATGCTTAAGGAGAAACTATGTTCAGCTCCTGTGTTGACCAACCCAAACTACCAGAAGCCATTCATCATTCAATGTGACGCAAGTAAGCTTGGTGTTGGTGCGGTCCTGGCCCAAACCAATGAAGAGGGTATAGAAGTACCTGTAGCTTACTTTTCTCACAAACTAAATGCTGCCCAAAGTAACTACAGCGTTACTGAGTTAGAATGTTTAGCGGCTATATTAAGCCTGAAGAAATTCAGGGCGTACGTCGAAGGGCAGGACTTCACAATTGTAACTGACCACGCCAGTTTGCAATGGCTTATGCGCCAAACCGACTTATCCGGCCGCTTGGCCCGATGGTCCCTAAAGCTACAGGGTTTCCGCTTCCAAATTGAACATAGGAAAGGATCCCAAAACGTGGTTCCTGATTGCCTTTCGCGCCAAAACTTCGAAGATTTTGTTGAGGTAAACGAGGTTCATGAAGTAGAAAGTCGTCCGATTATAGATTTACATTCGCCAGAATTCGAGTCCGATGATTACGTCAAGCTGAGAAACTATGTACAGAATAACCAGTCGCGTTTACCTGATATCCGGATTGTTGAGAAACACGCACAGAATTTCCTGATGGCAACATAGAACGCGAAGCATTTAATTGGAAACTTTGGGTTCCGAAAGCGCTCGTCGAAGACGTTATTAAAAAACGCCCACTGCCCTCCAAACAAGTGTCATGGGGGAGTAGCGAAAACTCTAGAGCGGCTGCGTACCAATTTTTTTCTGGCCAAACATCACAATTGATGTTAAAAACTTCGTGTCAAAATGTGACGTGTGTAAACAAAGCAAAGCTCCAAACACAAACCTTCGCCCTCCCATGACATCGGAATATGCTGTCCAGCGTCCATTCCAAAAACTTTACGTAGATTTGCTTGGGCCTTATCCAAGATCAAAGCAAGGCCATATAGGTATTTTAATCATGTTAGACCACCTGACGAAGTTTGTACTGTTGAAGCCAATAAAAAAGTTTACAAGCGCACCGATTTGCCAGTATTTTGAGGAACATGTGTTTAGCACCTTTGGAACGCCAGAAATCGTTATGAGCGATAACGGAAAACTGTTTAAGTCTACACAGTTTGAAAATTTATTAGCGGATCGTGGCGTTAGACACATATATACCGCGCTTTACAGTCCGCAAGCCAACGCCAGCGAACGCGTCAATCGTTCAATTCTGCAAGGAATTAGAGCTTACCTCAAAACGGACCAAACCTTGTGGGACAAAAACCTTCCCAACATTGCGGAAGCTCTCCGCAGTTCGTTCCACCAAACAATCAATTGTACTCCGTATTTCGCGCTATTCGGTCAACATATGATGGCACATGGAAAGGACTACCAACTCTTGCGGCAGCTACAAAGTTTCGATGAGCACGTCCTAGACAGAGTGGACAATCTGCAGTGTGTTAGAAGTGCTATTATGAGAAGTATCTCAAAAGCTTTTGAGACACCTGCGAAGCGTTATAATCTTCGCAGCTCGGCAAATACTTTTTCAGTAGGTGATACAGTCTTCAGAAGGAACTTTGTGTTGAGTGACGCTTCGAAAAAATTTTGCTCTAAATTTGCACCTAAATTTGTGAAGGCTAAAGTTATCGCTACCAAAGGTAATTGCATGTACGAGTTAGAAGACGAACTCACTAAACACCGCGGAATGTATCACCGAAAAGACATACAGGAGAGCCACTGTTAAAGGAACACTTCACCAACAATCTAGGTGGGGGGGGTGTGTACGGTTACACGTACAGGCGCGAAAGGACTGGAAAAAAAAA